ATTTGTTCTAATTATTTACACATGACAGTAGAATGCACCTTTTTATATCATACACAAATGAAGTATAATTTCTCATTCTTCTGGTTGCACATGATATAGAATCCCACTGGTCATGTAGTCATATATATATATATATATATATATATATGATAATAATGTCTGATTCATTCTACTAATCTTCCTGTCCCCATACTCCCTCCCCTCCCTTCACCCCCCTCTGCCTAATCTAAGGTAACTCTGTTCTTACTTAGGTGCCCCCCTTATTATGAATTATTTACATTTGCATATCAGAGAAAACATTGGTTTTTTGGGGATTGACTTATTTTGCTTAACATGATATTCTCCAGCTCCATTCATTTACCAACAAATGCATAATTTCATTCTTCTTTAAGGCTGAGTAATATTCCATTGTGTGTATATGTGTGTGTGTGTGTGTGTGTGTGTGTGTGTGTGTGTGTATATATATCACATTTTCTTTATCCATTAATCTGTTGAAGGACATCTAGGTTGGTTCCATAGTTTAGCAATTGTGAGTTGAGCTGCTATAAACATTGATGTGGCTGTGTCATTGTTGTATAGTCTTTTTTTTTAAATCCTCCCCCTTATTGTGAATTAGCTTCTACAAAGGAGACAAAACATTTGACTTTTGGCTTTTTTTGAAAACTAGTTCTTTTTTTTTTAATTTTAATTTTTTATTGTTGGTTGTTCAAAACATTACAAATTTCTTGACATATCATATTCCACACTTTGATTCAAGTGGGTTATGAACTCCCACCTTCACCCCATACACAGATTGCAGAATCACCTCAGTTACACATCCATTGATTTACATATTGCCATACTAGTGTCTGTTGTGCTCCGCTGCCTTTCCCATCCTCCACCCTCCCCCCTCCCCACCTCTCCCCTCCCCTCCCCTCCTCTCTCTCTACCCCCTCCACTGTATAACCCTGAGGGTCTCCTTCCATTTCCATGCAATTTCCCTTCTCTCTCCCTTTCCCTCCCACCTCTCATCCCTGTTAAATGTTAATCTTCTTCTCCTGCTCTTCGTCCCTACTCTGATCTTAGTTACTGTCCTTATATCAAAGAAGACATTTGGCATTTGTTTTTTAGGGATTGGCTAGCTTCACTTAGCATAATCTGCTCTAATGCCATCCATTTCCCTGCAAATTCTATGATTTTGTCATTTTTTAATGCAGAGTAATACTCCATTGTGGAAAACTAGTTCTTTAAGCAGGTACAATTGATTTGCTGTAGGGAAAGAAATAGGAATAAAAGGACTTTGATGACAGTGATCTAGTTTGGTGTTGATAATTCAGTCCTTGAAGTTCATCCACTCTGAAACAAATCTTTTTTTTAATTATTATTATTAGTTGTTCAAAACATTACAAAGCTCTTGACATATCATATTTCGTACATTTGATTCACGCGGATTATGAACTCCCATTTTTACCCCATATACAATGCCGCAGTCTGGCTGGGCACAAATGCCGCAGTCTGGCTGGGCACACAATCACGAGCCACCACACAGCTTGTAGATTCAAACAGCAACTCTTTATTCCCGAACTCACACCAGCCGTCTACAATCACATTCTGGGGAAATCCATGTTCTCTGCCCAAATCCACTCCCACTGGGCTTCTGTCTCCCAAAAATACTGTCTGAATCCCGTGAGAACTCAAGGGGAACTCAGGCAGCAGGATACGCCCTATTCCTAGCAGGAATAATCTTAAACCTGGAACGCCCTAAACTGGAACGCCCTAAACCCAATTATCCTAAACCAGGAACACCCTAATCCGCCCTGGTCCTTGAGCAAGGTCGCCTACATGCAATGTCACTGCAACATGGGGTACGCTGGCAAGGAAATTGTCATACCTACTTGGCTAATGGCTCCCAGCAATACAAATTGCAGATTCACATCGGTTACACATCCACTTTTTTACATACTGCCATTCTAGTGTATGTTGTATTCTGCCGCCTTTCCTATCCTCTACTATCCCCCCTCCCCTCCCCTCCCCTCCCCTCCCATCTTCTCTCTCTACCCCATCTACTGTAATTCATTTCTCTCTCTTGTTTTTTTTTTTTCCTTTTTCCCCTCATTTCCTCTTATATGTAATTTTGTATAACAATGAGGGTCTCCTTCCTTTACCATGCAATTTCCCTTCTCTCTCCCTTTCCCTCCCCCCTCTTGTCCCTGTTTAATGGTGATCTTCTTCTCATGCTCTTCCTCCCTGCTCAGTTCTTAGTTGCTCTCCTTATATCAAAGATGACATTTGGCATTTGTTTTTTAGGGATTGGCTACCTTCACTTAGCATAATCTGCTCTAGTGCCATCCATTTCCCTGCAAATGTCATGATTTTGTCATTTTTTAGTGCTGAGTAATACTCCATTGTGTATAAATGCCACATTTTTTTTTATCCATTCATCTATTGAAGGGCATCTAGGTTGGTTCCACAGTCTAGCTATTGTGAATTATGCTGTTATGAACATCGTTGTAGCAGTATCCCTATAGTATGCTCTTTTAAGGTCTTTAGGGAATAGTCCAAGAAGGGGAATAGCTGGGTCAAATGGTGGTTCCATTCCCATCTTTCCAAGGAAACAAATCTTGATGTTGTTTTGCATGTGTGTACATTAAATGTTCTGAAAAAATTAGGTATTTTTACATCCCTCTACATTTACTTCTGATTTCATTTATTAGACCATATGAGAGATCATCTTGTAAAATAGTTATATTCAGGAAAAGCAAATGGAGAAGAGAAAAATCTAATTAATTAAAAGAAAAAGAATTGAAGAAAGAAAGAAAGAACTCTATATAACCTCATTATAGCCAGTTTTGATTAGGTCAGTAAATCTTGGAGATGAAATTAAGGCACCATGAAATTAGGTTCAGTATTCTAGTAAACTGTTAGGTTCATCTTATACAATGAATTTTTGGCACTCAGTGTTAGGCTGCTTCTATGGCAGTGAAAATGAGCGATTCAAGAGTATGCTAAGGTGATTGGCTCTCAGTACAGAACATGAGGCAGGAAGAGAAAGAATTCCATTAATAGAAGGATTCTAAAGGGACTGGGATACTTTGTCACTCAAAGTTTCTTAGCTTGGTGCTCATGTCATCTGCCTAGACCTAGTCTTTGGGCTTAACTTCTGATGTTGCATGCTTCCTAACTCTTGGAACTGACGGTCTTTTTAGAATATGTGCATATTCTCATTTAACCATGGCATTTATTTTGGTATAATTCTAGCAACATGTATATTAATATGCTAAAGGTGCATAAATTTCCCAGCCTGATCTTGAAAATAATATATAGCATTTTTTATCCTCATCAGCTAGCCATATATGACTAATCAAAATGATATATGAACAACCCACCTTAGAAATTTAGTCCTGCTAACAGAATTGAGAAGGTGGGAGAACAGATTTATGATATTCAGAGTCAGATGAATAAAAATATTTATTTATTTTAATTAACATTAATCCAATAGTTTATCTCACCAGTGATCATTAAACACATTCGTAAATTGAACTGGATTTACTTTAGCAAAAGAAATAAACACAAAAGTATACATTTTTAACTTTCCCAAATCCTAAAACTTTTTTCATCAATTTAAACAGATTATGCATTTGCAATTTATAGTAGTTGGTACACTTTCAATATACAGACACAGAAACTCTTGAGTCAATGTAGCAAGCTGTGTATTAATTTCTTTATATAGGTAAATATAGCTCTATCCATTTACCTACCTACCTGCTTATATTGCCAAGCATGCATCCACCCATTCATATATTTCAGATTCCATCTGCTCATGTATTAATCTATTGAGTGATTCATCTATTTGTCTCCTTAAAATTTACCAGTAACCTATATATTCCAGACTCTTTACATGTACTCAGAATAGGGCGATATTACACAACACAATATGCAAAAACTGACAGTACCAGGCAATTGGATAATTATTAGTAGTTATAGTAGTTCAGTTTTATGAAGATAAACTGACTCAAGTTCAATAGAAAGAGGACAAGAAAAAAAGTAAACAAAGGTACTTTCTAGGTTAAACTGTCATCAAAACTGTATCAATTTGGGAATATAATATTCCCTGCTCTCAATTTATAAATTGCTCTCTATAAAATTAATAGATTTGACCAGATGACTTCTGTTTTCTAAAAACTCCAATTATTACTCACATTAAAAAAAATGTTGAAGGACCACTCTCTCATGGGGGTCTGTAAGTTAAATACTATAGTTAGCCAGGAAGGAAATGGCTCAGATTCTTCAGGACCTCACTATTTACAATGTGGTTTTGAATACAAAAATGATATAGTAAGCATCAAAGTACCAAAATAATTCATTACTATTTAGAAAGTAAACAAGTATCCATATTTGTAAGTGAACAAACCAGATGCTGCCTCTAAATAGCATGACTTGGAAAAGTCACTGTTTTCTTTAGGTGTAGTTTCAACTTTTATAGAATAGGACTGTGGATAGGATTTGTTGTACATGACTCTAGGATCTTCTCTCTCTCTCTCTCTCTCTCTCTCTCTCTCTCTCTCACACACACACACACACACACACACACACACGTACACACACAGAGACACACATGAACGATAAGAATTTTATTGGAGTTTACTATACTGTTTCAAAACTATGGAGCCTACTCTAGGTGATGTAGGAACTGAAGATTTATAAGGCACATTCTTATTCTTCAAAAATGTTTTATAAACAATATTAAATAGCAAATACTTTTACTTATCAAGAACCCTCCACTTCTTTCTGACTTTTGCATTAAAAACCATTCATCAGCACTTTGCACGCAATGGGGAAATCCTGTTGCTCCTTTGGTTCACAGGGTACTGCTTGTGGGCAGTTAAGAGGACCAGAACTCAGTGACTGATGAGATTGATGACTAAATCAGTTCTCTCACCAACTACTTGATTTCTTGCAATGGTGTCTTTATGTTGAGAGGGATAAGAGCTGAACAGTCTTTAATTTTTATATGAAGAAAATTAAGGGATCTGATCAGTTTTCCTAGACTTGAAGACATGGCTGCTTAGTTTCCTCATGGACTGCTTGACATCTTTATTTCTAAGAGTATAGATCACTGGATTCAAGAGGGGAGTGAATATAGTATAAAACACTGAGAGTACTTTGTCTATTGGGAAATTTGTGAAAGGCCACACATAGATGAAAATGCATGGGCCAAAGAAAAGGGTTACAACAGTAAAGTGGGCACTGCAAGTGGACAGGGCTTTAGAGGACCCGCCAGAGGAACGCTGCCGAACGGTGACCAGAATAATGGTGTAGGAGATCACCAACAGGATGAAGCACACCAGGGCAATCATGCCGCTGGTAGAGATCATGAACACCCCCAGAATGTATGTGTCTACGCAGGCGAGTTTAATTACCAAAGGGAGGTCACAAAAGAAGCTGTCTACTTCATTGGGTCCACAGAAGGGCAGATTCACAGTAAACGCTAACTGACTCAGAGCATGGAAGATGCCCACAATCCAGGAAAGTATCACAAGCCCAATGCACATTCTCCGGCTCATGATGACCAAGTAACGCAGAGGCTTACATATAGCCACGTACCTATCAAAGGACATGGATATCAGCAGGACAATCTCAGCACCTCCTAAGAGGTGTAGAAAGAATATCTGCGTTATGCAGCCTTCAAAAGAGATGACTTTGTGCTCACTGAGGAAGTCTGCAATCATTTTGGGGGTGGCAAATGAGGCCAGGGACATGTCAATGAAGGAGAGATTGCCCAGCAGGAAGTACATGGGGGAGTGAAGACGGGGCTCTAATACAATTGTCAGCACAATGAGGAGGTTCCCCAGCACAGTGGCTGCATAGACTACAGAGAAAAACAGGAAGTAGAACATCTGGAGCTCTGAAGACCCAGACAAACCTCGAAGAATGAATTCTGTCACCATGGACTGATTGCTCCAGGCCATATTCATTCTGATTTCTGTAAGAATTCTGTCATTTCCAAATGGGAAGAGAACTATGAAAAAATTACAGCATTGAAACTCCAAGTGAGAATTTTTACATAGAATAGTTTACTGGCTCCAGATAGTTCTCTCTTGTGCCTTTTCCCAAATCACAGTGGTTGAATATTTTCCCCAAAGGCCTTTATAGGTATTTTAAAAGATTCAATTAAAGATCTGTTCTTATAACCTAAAAATTTGTTTTATAAGAAAAAAATGCAAATATTCATAAAAGAAACAAAAATAAAAGTATTCAAATATTTTCTTCTTAGTTTGTGAAATACTTTAAAATTTCACAGCTAGTTCCTGGCTTGGTGGCTCACACCTGTAATCCCAGTGGCTTCAGAGGCTAAGACAGGAAGATCACAAGTTCAAAGCCAGCCTCAGTAACTTAGCAGGGCCTTAAGCAACTTAGTGAGACCCTGTCTCAAAGTACAAAATAAAAAAAGGGCTGGGGATGTGGCTTAGTTGTTAAACACCCCTGGGCTCAATTCCCAGTACCAAACCAAACAACATTAAACAAAGAAAAAAATTTCACAACTTACTGCCAACAGGTTTTAATAGGTAAAATAGAAGGGAGTGATGACTTTTCTCACAACATCATGGTATGAGGAATCTTGAGAATCATGATTGCTCTTTAGTGGAAATGCTGTAGAAAAGCTTTGTGGACTCTGGTCTCCTGTACTGTCTAGGAAAAAGGAATAGAAGGTGGGGGAGATAAAATGGCTACAGAGAAACACAGTTGATTTCAATTTTATAGTGGAGTTTGTCCAAAATAAAAAAAGAAATAGCCTCTAATTCTTAGATTTTTATTTCAGTTATGTAGATATTAAGAACAACCTTGGTTCTATGCCACCAATTCCATGCACTTTCTAATCCAGGCTGATGAATGTGTGCTGGTTAAAACCTGAAGGAACTATACATTTCCAAGCATATTTAAATAGAAAAGGTGGTAAATATCACACCATCTGAAGCCAGATATTTTTTAACTACTGGAATTGATTGACTTTCAAAACACAATTTGAAACAGAAAATTCTTCCTGTTTGTAAAATTTTCAAGAAGCAACTATGAGACAGATTTATATAGAGACAGAAAATGGTAATGCTGAACCTAGAAGTTATGTAACATAAATATTTCAAAGGGTGCAGCTATACTGATGAGAGAGACTTTCTGAGACCTGAGAAGACTTTACAAATTGTCCAGTTGAAATGATACGTACCTAAAATTCATGAAAAAAAGCCCTCTCATCTTGCCACTAAAGCAAGCTTTTCTTTTTCTTTTGTCGTTTCAAAACTCAAAGTGTACATTCTATACAAAATATTCCAAGACAACATATTTATACATGCAACTACCTTCTTGTTTGGAAATTAGATATGCTCTCTTTAGCTGGGCATTTGTTCTAGCCTTGCCCATTACAGAATATGTCAGATGTCTTCTGCACCACCTACCTGTTATTAAAATAGATGTCTCAGCATAACTCTTATATAAGTTGGTGTAGCAGATATAGCAATAGCAATGTCCTGGAACTCAGAAAAAGTGGATTCAAATTTCCTAAAATTCTGCAATTGGATAACCTAGTGAGTCAAACAGTGCCTCTGATTCTTCATATGTAAATTAGATGGGTTGATGTAGCTGATTGTAGTATCCTTTCCACAAATTGTAGTGTGTTGATGCTCAACTAATTCCTGAGAGCAGTAATAACAGCTTCAAAGTGAACTTAGATAAATCCTATGCCTAATATCTGGGAAAGGAGGATCAAAGTCTTTAGAACCTTTTCATTTATAATGTCTGTGTTTATATGAATTGATTTAGTGAATTACATAAATGGCATGAAAAAGACCAGCTGCTACTTAGGGAATAAATGGTTAAATTGCTGTGGGAGTTATTAAAACATTCAGCTTAATTTGTCCAGAGTTGAAGATGGATTACAGAATGTGTGATAGCTCTTTTGTGCTTCATATGCAGGGTGTGGATATGGTGAGGCAGGGAAGATATAAGAAATAGTCTTCACTTGGACAACAGCAAAGATAAGACATAAGAATTTAGATATTTAGATAAGAATTTAGTATTTGGCTTGCAAGGCTGCAAAATTTCTCTCTCAGTTCATTCAACAGATGAAGATAAAGCCTGTATCACCCTACTTGAATAAAAATTTATACAGTAACTAATATAGTTAATGTTTAACACTTAAAGTTTGTAATTTTCACTTAGATTATTATGAATTAAGGGGAAAAATAAAGTGAAAAAAGTCTGGCTTACAAATTCTAACTATACGAATAATATTAAACAATCATAAAATCTTTAATATCCATGCAAAAATCAGAATAATAACAATACAATTTAGATGTTAACCATGTTTAAATAGTTCTCTATTTAAAAGAAATATTTGAATATTTACATTATTCTTAGCTTATACTCATATAGTAAAATACATTTATTTGATGAAACTACATCAAATTCCTCTGCTGTAATATAAAGAATGTTGGATCTCAGGACTGGAGGCCTGAGTTTACATCATAGCACAAGACTAATGGATTTCATTTGAGTTCATTGCCACATTAGCATTCTGAGAAACAATTTCCTCATTTTTAATGAAAAATATAAAAAAGCATTGTTATATTAGCACATAAAGAGCCACTAAAATAGAAAATAAAAAACCAACAGCTCTGCATAAAAATGGAAAAAGATGTACAAGTGACTATTAACTATTTAAAAGATGCTCAAACTCTTAGACAAAGGGTATTGGGGGAGAGGAGAGATGAGATGGAGAACAGTGAAATGAATCTGACTGAAGTTTTGTATATACATGAATATACCACTGTGAATCTCAAAATCAAGTATATCCACAAGACACTAAGTTAGAAAAAAAAAAAGAAAAAGAAAAAGAAACTATAAATAAATTTCAGAAAGTAGAGAAAGAGGAGGACGGAGAAGTATAAGGGAGAAGGAGGAAAATGCTGGGGACTGACTTAGAGCAAATTATATTTCAAGCTTTTGTGACTATATTAATATGTATCCTAATATTATGTATAACAAAAAAGAATCAATACAACAGAAAAGTTGTTAATTTTTTTTTTTTTTTGCACTGAGAATTGACCTCAGGGACACTGAGCCACATCCCCAGCCCTATTTTGTATTTTATTTAGAGACAGGGTTTCACTGAGTTGCTTAGTGCATCACTTTTTCTGAGGCTGGCTTTGAACTCTCAATCTTCCTGCCTCAGCTCCTGAGCTGCTGGGACTATAGGCATGTTCCACTGTGCCCAGCTATGTTAAATTTTTATTGGGATACTATGAGTTATATGGTAAAATCTTTCTATGACACATCAACATTCTAATCTCTTGAAAATTAACCTAAATGATGCTGTAATGAGATAATATCAGAAGGAATCAGATTCAATCCTATAGAGGGGCATTTAACTATTTACAACCCAGCCATGATATTCATGGGTTTGTCATACATTGATTCAAGCCACTGTGGTTTAAAAATATTTGAAAAAAATTACAACTGTACTGAACATGAAAAAGGTTTCTTATCATCTCTCCCTAAATAATAAAATATAACATTTTACATAGCATTTACATGGTAATATTATAAGTAATATAGAGATGATTTAATCTAGAGATAATGTGTTAAATCATATGGAAATATTTCACCATTTTATATAAGGATATTAAATTTTAAAAAACTGGGTCCAGTTAAACTTGTAAAGTTCAGGCCTGGGGATGTGGCTCAAGCAGTAGTGCGCTCTCCTGGCATGCGTGCAGCCCGGGTTCGATCCTCAGCACCACATACAAACAAAGATGTTGTGTCCGCCGAAAAAAAAAAAAATTCTCTCTCTCTCTCTCTCTCGCTCTCTTTCTTTAAAAAAATTGTAAAGTTCAGTTGAATATGAAAAAAGTTATAGAACTAGATAATATTCTGGACTAAAGATAATTGAAAATCCAATGTATATGTACAAATTATAGCCAGAGAAAACAAAGTGATATACCAGAGCAATCTGATTGGCTGCAGTTGGTATTTAACTCATGTGGTCATGTTTCTGGTTGTCCTGTCAACTTCTGGCTGACTGGACGTTTTGCTGGTGTGATTGGCTGAGACTTGGTTACAAGAGTATATTCTCAAGGTAGGCTACAATTTGCTGATATATCAAATGGTTCATTATGTACAGTGGAACTTTGGGCTAAATATCATTCAAATATAGGAGACTAGTTTAGGCCAAATTTATTTCAATTCAACAAGGACTTGAACATCTGGGGATTTTGGTATCCATTTAGGTCCTTGAACCAAATGTTCACGGATACAAAGGGATGATGTATATGCTCACACACACACCCACTCTTCCCACCCACATACACAATCACACACACGCATGCAGTAAATGTATACATACACATATGTATGTGTATAACTGCACCTAAAGTATGAACATATATATGTAGTTATATATGCATACCATCACACATTTACAAAATTTACAAACTAGTTATCATAAATACCCTTTCTTCTTCCTTATTTACTTATTTATTCATTTTGCCATACTTTTCCCTAGTAAGTCATTCCACAGCAGAGTTTAAAGCAGAGTGCCAGATTACCATGGAATGTGGCAGAGATGTTGTGAAGGGTGTGGAAATATAGAATGATCTTATACAGGAGGGAACTAAGCACTTTGCATCTACCATCCTGTCCACCCCCCCCCAAGCTGAGACCTGAACTTGGGGGAGGGACTTCAGTTGGAAGAGGAAGAGAAGGCAGGGGTGTCAGTAGACCACATTAATTTCATGACACCTGAAGTATGTGTGCTGAGGAAGCCTACAGACCTAACAAGCCCAGAAACTCACTTTGGAAAGGTGCTGGGAATGCCACACGAAAACCTTGTCCTAGAAAAAGAACTCACCCCACATCGTCCTCCCCTAACCAGGCTCCTGCAATTTACCACCATCTTAAGACCCCATTCTCTCACATTCCCGAGAAGCATACAAGTGGCTTTCC